AATCTCGATCATTAGAGAGTTATAGATAAAAGATTTTGGCCCCTCTGAGCCCTTAATTTGAGGGGTCAGCCCTTTTTTCTTGATATCAAATAAAAGGTCCTGTAATTTTGAAGATTTTTTGTTCAATACTTATTCAGAAATTTCTATTCGTTGTGGAGATATGCTAAATGGAAATATTTAGGGGTCACTCGTACAAGTCCTTAATGGGGCCGTTTTACAAAAATTCAAAGTATGCATATTGTTAAGAACATTATTCTGGCCATCTTTTGTTCAATATTGCTTATCAAAATATCCCCCCTTTTTGAGATATAAAGCGTTAAATATTTGACATTCTGGCCCCTTGTGACCCCTAATTACGTAACATATGATCCAAATTGTATCATATATTGTTGCAAATCGTTAAGATAAATACTTTTGCTTCAGTAATGTTTTGAAAAATCTCGATCATTAGAGAGTTATAGATAAAAGACTTTTGGCCCATCTGAGCCCCTAATTTGAGGGGTCAGCCCTTTTTTCTTGATATCAAATAAAAGGTCTTGTAATTTTGAAGATTTTTTGTTCAATACTTATTCAGAGATTTCTATTCGTTGTGGAGATATGCTAAATGGAAATATTTAGGGGTCACTCCTACAAGTCCTTAATGGGGCCGTTTTACAAAAATTCAAAGTATGCATATTGTTTAGAACATTATTCTGGCCATCTTTTGTTCAATATTGCTTATCAAATATTCCCCCTTTTTGAGATATAAAGCGTTAAAGATTTGTCATTCTGGCCCCTTGTGACCCCTAATTACGCAATATATGCTTAAAAGTTTATAATATATTGTTCCAAATGGTCTAAAATTAAAAATATCAAAAAATCAAGCAGAAAAAATGATAAAAATTTTTGGTCACACGGGGGATCGAACCCGGGTCGCCTGTGTGACAATCCAACGCGCTAACCATTTAGCCATTGGGATCGCCGCTTCACGTTTTCAAATGCAAATATCTCGAGATCGGCTTTTTCGATTTTCAAACAAATTACATATTTCGCTTCTACAAGAGGGTCTCTATTCACATCAAAAACAAAAATATTAAAAAATAAAAGTTGAAAAATTGCGTTTTTTAAATTCACTTCCGGTAGCGACCGGAAGTATTGATGACACACGGAAAGGTAATTCTGCAAAGCTATAAGTCATGAACTATCATCTCAAATAAGTCTCCTGTTCATATCTTAAGCAGTTTTTGCTACTAAGTTCAGACAAAATTGCAATTTAAAATCAGGAAATTGTAGATATCTCACGACCGGAAGTGACGTCATCAACAAAAAAAAATTTCCAATAAGGTTCAGATCAGTACCTATCAGATATGAAAGTCTCATGAGAATCAGCCCAGTAGTTTACAAGAAACGCGTGCACAAAATTGGTAAGAATAATAATAATAACTAGAGCAAAGCTCGTTGCAAAGCAACGAGTGGGTCTTCCTTCCTAGCGATAAGCAAAAGATTCAATGTTTCTGTCTAGATTGTCAACTTTGCTAACATTCTCTTTTTCAATTTGTCTCAAAAACCCTTACTTGAATTCTTTAATTTGGTGTGAGCATGAGGTCTAAAGGGTACTCTCTCTAACAGCATTCTTGAAATCGTATCCACAACAGTTTAACTTCCAATATTATGACTTTTGATATCGGATATATCATGTTTGTTGCAGTTATGTTTGTGAAACGTGTCATACTACAGAAACATAAGTGTTTTGCTACATTACCATCTTAAAAATGGCTTTAAAATCATTTAATATACAATATAACTAGGTAAATAAAATAAACAAATTATATAATAATTCAAAAAATCCAAATGTATTTACAATAATGATGAACAATCTTCATTAGTTGCAATCAGTAAGTAGAACAATACTTTTATAATAAACGCACAGAAATGTGTTGTGTATGTTTCGAATTTGAAGCTTTCCACTAGCAACTGGTGGTACCTCAATAGGAGTGTAAAATTCTCTGAAAGGTATATTATGAACATATTACATATGGCTGTGTATTCTTTTTTAGCGGCTTTGGCGGAATGCAGCAATCACTAAATCAAGTACAAAGCTAAAAGTCTTGTACATAAACATAAATAAGAATATCTACGCTAACTTATTCAAAAGTCAATTTCCACCAAATATTGTACAAGCTAAATATAATACATTTACAGCATTAAAGAAACAAATCTCTTTGATTGATTGATTGATTGTATACTGTTTAACGTCCCTCTCCAGAATATTTCACTGATATGGAGACGTCACCATTGCCGGTGAAGGGCTGCAAATTTAGGCCTATGCTCGGCACTCAGGGCCATTGAGCAGGGAGGGATCTTTATCGTGCCACACCTGCTGTGACACGGGGCCTCGGTTTATACGGTCTCATCCGAAGGACCGCCCCATTTAGTCGCCTTTTACGACAAGCAAGGGGTTACTGAGGACCTATTCTAACCCGGATCCCCACGGGGTAACAAATCTCTTTGAAGGTATTGCCCTGCATAAGAACAATTTGAATCCCCTACACTAAGGATGCTCTGTGCCAAGTTTCACTTTGGTTCTGAAAATTGATATTGTGAAATTTTAAACAATGATGATAATGGATAAAATTATGTTTTTAAAAAAATTACTGGTTCCTTAGCTCAGATGGGCTAATAAGTATGCAACAGGCACAGTTTTGGAGTTGACAATGAAATGCGACTGGACATCTCTTCAATCTTGTTTTAGAAAACTACATGTACATGCCCTATGTACTGAATTCCTTGGAATCATACACATGTTTATGCCTTTAATTAGTTGTATGTGCCAAAACAACAATTTTTTTTTTACATTACCGTATTTGGCGGAATATAATACACACTTTTTTCCTAAAATAAATTTCTGTAAGAAAGGAGTGCGTACTTTACATGAAAATGGGATTTTCTTGTTTTTCTTTCAGGTGAAACATGGCTATCATGTGTACATACCGTAGTATTACCTATAGAGACATATGCAATTTCTTTTGTTTATCGCCATATTTTAATACACATGTATAAACTTCAGAATTTATTGTTGGTAAGTATGTTTATTGTCTTCCCGACTCTCCGTGTAGGCCGCCATTACCGATGTTATTTTTAGACGTTCACTCCTTCCGTAATAATCAGACAAAGCAATGTCTTTTTTTTTAATGAAATACAATAATAAAAAAATAGTTTAGGTTGTAAATAACTCAGTGAAAATTCACTACAACATAAACACCCTCTCTACGTACATTGTACCAATGAAAGGAAGCCAATGTTTTAAACACGTGCGCTGGTCACTTGATAATTATCTCCCAACACCCCTCCAGGCAATTGTCTACCAACTCCAAAGCAATGTTTTTACAGTTAGAGCACTGATTTTTTACTGTCCTTATAATTTGCTTTGATAAGAAATATTTTCTTTGTTAAAAATCGGGACGGTTTATGACCAGCTTTGGTATATACTGTACTGTGTCAGCGGCTGAGCGCATATTAAACAATTACCATAATTGGGGGAATACAATACGCACTTTTTTCCTAAAATAAATTTCTGTGAGAAAGGGATGTGTATTTTACATCACAATGGGATTTTGACAAGTTTTTCTTTCAGGTGAAACACGGCTATCATATGTACATACCGTAGTATTACCTAGAGACATATGCAATTTCTTTTGTTAATTGCCATATTTTAAACTTCGGAAAGTTATTGTTGGAAGATATGCTTCTTAAAAATGTCACTTTCATTATCTTTTTATGCCCAAATAACATTAAAAAGTAAGTTAAAAGTAATTTGAGCTGCATGTTGATTGTCTCCGAGGAGGCCACCATTACCGATGTTATTTTCAGACGTTCACTCATAGCTATGTCACGTGCTTCCGGAATGATAGTGCACATGCACCTTATCTGCCAGACAAAGTAATAAATCATTTTTTAATGAAATACAATAAAATAAATATTAATTTTAGGCTTAAAATAACTCAGTTATAATCTGCAACAATATAAACACCCCTCCATGGATACGTCCCAATGAAAGGAAGCCAGTGTTGTGACACACGTGCGCTGGTCAAATGATAATTACCTATCAACATCCCTCGGGGCAATTAATTGTCTACCGACTCCAAAGCAATGTTTTTACAGTTAGAGCACTGATTATTTACTGCCATGTTAATTGCTGTGATTATTTTCTTTGTTAAAAATTGGGGGTTGGTTTATGACCTTTCGTATGTGTGAGCATGGTGAGCATGTGTTGATTACAGCACTTAAAACAATTAAACAGTTGTTAAATGTAATTTTACCTTATCTTATACTTATCGGCCTCTTGTTTAAATAATTGAGAGTTGAGAAATGAAGTATAAATTATGCTAAAACTTTTAATAAAAGTGGTATCTTTTAGAAAATAAGATATCCGTGAAGGTTCAGAAGAGGAAAATCGTAGTCTTCTTAAAGAAATAAATACTTTGATGTTTCAATTTCGTTTCCTGTTAAAATATTGTAAGATAATTTTAAGCATGATTATCTAGAACCAAAATTAAATATGACAACTGATAAAACTTTCTACAATATCTTGTTGAAATAAAATTATTTCATCTGAGAATATGGCGGCGCATAATTTCAAAATCATTGAACTATTCTTTAAAAAAAATCTGTTAATACTTTTACGCAACATTATCTTGTGCTTTGTTGAAATAAATGAATAAATAATTTTCTCCAGATCGCCGCGATAATGAATGTCAGGATTAAGAGAAAGTTATAAAGTGTGTATTTTTAAAAAAGTGTGTTCAGTAAATTTTTTGACACCTAATCCTCGCGCCGATTTTCGTGACAAATTACTGTGATTTTCATAGTTCAGAACATCGCTTTGTAAATTTTTCTGTTGCGTATAATACATCCGAACTGCGTTTTTTTCCCCAGTTTCAGACTCAAAAAGGGGGGTGCGTATTTTACATAAATGCGTATTATATTCAGCCAAATACGGTATACTGTAAAAAAAATACACATACATGTATTACAAGATCTTATATTCCTGCTGAAGACAGAGGATCTATCTTAATCATTAGAATAAGTAAGTCTAAACTTTGAAAGGGAAGACCTTAATAAAGAGGTCAACATGCTACACAAACAAAATATTATTATATTTAAAAATAACATTTATTCCAATGTAATTACTGGTACATGTATTTCTGTTACAAAAACTATTTCACTTGAAAAACTGAGAGCAATTGATATGTTCATATTTGTGGATTTATGTTGTCAAATCAAAATTTAAAAATGATACACAGTGTGTTTAAAAATTGTCTTCACAAACCAAAACTTGACTTATTTTCACTATGCTGTTTATTCCATGTCACATCCAAACAGATGATCTTCTGGCAAATCATGGTCATGCTTGGTATCAAAATTCAGTATTCAGATGAGTCACACCTATCCAAAAGAAATTGAAATTTTTTAATTTATAATTCTTTTACTAATAAAAAGTGCAATTCATGAAATTATAAATTAGATTATCAAATTGAGATATAAGATATTGTCACATTTTCTGTGTATAATTTGTAAATTTTAATGTACTCTTTCATCAATTAAAAGAAGTTTACACCAATTAAGGCAGTGATTTATGCTATCCCCTAATAAGACAACATACAAGTGCAAAGTAATCATGCACTAGTGGGTTTAGAATAATGTGCTAGAGTATTTATGACAACATACTAGCACGAGGTGACAATGTGCTAGCATGTACGTCAGTGATAATATGCCAGCACACTGAATCCAACATGCAGTGAAGCTAACACTCAACAGATTGTTTAGAGTTGTGTTTGCATGATATTTTGTTTTGTGTAAACACAGCAGCGTGTTGTTTAAAGCTGCATTGGAGTGGCAGTCTGTTGAAATTAACATGCTAACACACTGCAACTTCACATCCTTGGAACACCATAATTTTAAAACTGGCAAACCAATATCTTATGATTACTTACTAGGTAATTGCAACTGTAAATGCTGATTTCATGGTGACAATAATACCGGTAATTCACTGTATATCTGAGAACTGATCAATTATAATAAGGCGTGTCCAGATAGGGCCACTTGCTAAAGCTCAATAGCACTTTCATAAAAGCGTGCCATCTTACCGACACAAAAGACGCCATTAGGCTATCACATAGCTCGCCATCACAACACTGAAAAACACTTTCGCACTAACACAAGTTCGCACCACACGCTGTCACACTAACACACAACACACTGTCACGCTAATACAATTTCACACAACAAAATATCAGGCTAACACGAGTTCACACAACACACTATCATGCTAACACAAATTCACAAACACGCTGTCTCACTAACACAAGTTCACACAACACGCTGTCTTGCTAACACAAGTTTTACACAACACGCAGTCTCGCTAATACGAGTTCATACAACGCACTGTCTAGCTATCACAAGTACATGCAACACACTGTCACGCTTAGATGAATTCACACAACACACTGTCACGCTAACATGAGTTTACACAACACGCAGTCTCACTAACACGAGTTTACACAATACACTGTCACGCTAACACGAGTTTACACAATACACTGTCACGCTAACACAAAGTCACAAAACAGGCTGTCTCACTATTCACTAACACAAGTTCGCACCAAATGCTGTTGCGATAACACACTGTCATCCTAATACCATTTCACACAACACACTGTCAGGCTAACACGAGTTCACACAACACACTGTCACACTAACACGAGTTCACACAACACACTGTCACACTAACACGAATTCACAAAACAGGCTGTCTCACTATTCACTAACACAAGTTCGCACCAAACACTGTTGCGATAACACACTGTCATCCTAATACCATTTCACACAACACACTGTCATCCTAATACCATTTCACACAACACACTGTCAGGCTAACACAAATTCAGAAAACATGCAATATCGCTAACACGAGTTCACATAACACGCAGTCTGGCTAACACGAGTTCACACAATATGCAATCTCGCTAACACGAGTTCACACAACACACTATCTCTCTAACACCAGTTCACACGTTAATAAGAGTTCACACAACACGCTGTCTCGCTAATATGAGTTTACGCAACACGCAATCTCGCTAACACCAGTTTACACAACACGCAGTCTCACTAACACGAGTTTACACAACACGAAGTCTCGCTAATACGAGTTCAATCAACACTCTGTCTAGCTAACACGAGTTTACACAACACACTGTCACACTTACACTTTATACACGATTTCACACAACACGCTGTCCCGCTAACACGAGTTCACGCAACACATCGTCAAGCTAACAAGAATTCACACAACCCACTGTCAGGCTAACACAATTAAGTTCACAAAACACACTGCCTTGCTAACACAAATTCATACAACACACTGTCTCGCTAACACAAGTTCACACAACACACTCACATTGCTGAGTTTAAAGTAAAGGTCTACCCTAATTTGAAGAGGTTTAACACTAACATATCTTTATATTAGTAAAGAGCTCCAAATTTAAGACAAAAACATTTATGCAGTAATGTTCCTTAACATGCATCTGGCATATAAAATGAATGAGACCTTAAAAACCTCACAGTACATGTTTACTTAGCTAAGTAAAGGTCTAAATTGATGCTATTCAACAATATATATCAACATCTCTAAGTATGTGAATGAGTGAAATTCTCAAATAAATATTATAAATCAAAGTATCAATAAGAAGCTGAACCTTACGTCGCAGGTTCCAATCCCATTGCTAAATGCTTTAGACAGGTTACTCCTATGAGACTGCATAAACCAAGATTCTGTGTCACGGTAGGTGTTAGCACAAAATGGATCGCATACTTCTTAAAGGCAGTAAGTGCTGAGTACAAGTCTATATTTGCAGCTAATACCATCCCAAGTGGTGGCACCATGAAATGACTGAAAAATGTATGATTAAGGCAAATAAACAAACATTAAACCATTACAGCAGTCTTATCAAACAAAAAAGCAAACTTTCTATTATTACAATTTTTTTAAACAAATTTCTTTTGCAATTTAACTGAGCAATATTTGTCCTTTTTTGTCGGTAAAGTATGATATTAAATAATTTAGACTTTTTGAGAACATCTATTTGAAGCGAGTCCAGACAGCAGCACAAATCCCTGCCCATAATTCGAGCTCTTATGATAAGACCTTGGCAAAAGAAGATTGTGACTTGCACATTGCTCCACACAATTTTTCCGCAGTATACTTTGGACCCACAGTGCATAGCTTCTTTAAAATGTTTAAGCTACATTCAAAATTCATTTCTATTTAATTTGAATTAGCTATCCTTACTCATGTTCACATGGAGCTAATGGGAAGTAATTTAACGAGCAGTGAATTCATTCGAATTAAACATTTGAATAAACTCTCAGTGTGAACACTGAGCATGGATGCACCAAATGTCAAATGCGGCTTGACAAGCACAATCTAAATTAAAACTAAATAAGTATCTGCCCTCACCCTTACAGTCACACTGTCAATATATAATTAGTTGAATATATTCTGTAACATTAAGTGCAGTTTGAATTATAGAGTATGATCACTATGATAGATAGTAGGACTGTTGAAATTACATCCTCAAATTAAAAAAAAATAAAATATAAAGCTGTGGGGATTTACAAGGTAAACAGAGAGCGTCTGAACTGTAAAACAGATAATATATCGGTGTGTCTGTGTATTTCTAATAACATCAATGTATGTCACTGTCATGTAATCAGTAGTGTAAATTTTAAGTAATAAAAATATTCTAACCTTCATTCCAATGGTCCAAGCCAATCATACATTAAAATGTCGCCGTCAGCTCTTTCATCACTCGATACAATTATCACTGGGGAATCCGAAGCAGAGTCAAGAGTGTTCATCCTTGCAGAGACATATATGTCTCTGATCCTTGTTAATGTGACAGTCAGAATTTCCTCGTAAACAATTCACACAAGATTCTTAGAATATATGAATAGGGATAATTTTGCTTAGAATAATGTTCCAGAGAAGTGACAAAGTACTTCGTAGCTGCAGATTAAATGAGTGTACATGTCTACAAACGGATTCTTTGTGAGAAAATGTTCAACTTCACAAATCATTCTATTTTCAGTTTGTAAACCATGGGAAACATGTGGCCGACGTCGACTCGAAGGGGCACACTAAAAACGGGATATACTAGAGACCTGATATTTACCTGACGTTTTAATTTTTAATTAAATGGTAATATTGAGTATTTTAAATTACTTATGTACAGATTTTATGACTTCGAGGCATACGCTATACAAAAATTCAATTGTTTGGAACATTTACAGACAAATTTGAATCAGGTCAAATCAGTGTTTAGTACATCGCGTCTTTAGTACCTTCCTATTTCCCACAATGCCGCGCGTTGTTTACAAACAAGCGCGAAAAAATCCTCTAAACTAGGTACTAATTATTGTTGTGTACATCATCACATTTTAAAATTATTTGAATAAAAAGAAAACAAAGAAACACCGAATCAAAACTATATCTTTTAGATGCATCAACTAAAAATGTGCACATGTATGCAGTAAAGGCTTGGCTGGCTATAGTAGACAACTTGTTCCTGAAAGGTTTCTCACATACATGTACTTGTTTTATTAAAAAAAACAATTAAATATAGCTGGAAGTTTATTTCTTTTTATATCAAATGACATGATTTTATAAGTTCGAAATTATTTCAGTCAAACTTTTTCATAATATACCAATATTTTTAGCTATCAGAAAAAAGCGTGTATGAGCTATTAACCCCTAATTATAGGGGCCAGCCCCTTTTCGTTAATCAAATATGAAAGCTCTCGTAATTACCCACAACTTTTGTAATATATTTCTTACCAAATTATTCTCGGTTTAAAAGTTATTACACAAAAAGTAGCAAAAATTCAAAGAAAAAAAATTACTAAAATTTGCCGTTTTATAGCTTCCAAACTTTGAGAAATCAGCTATATAATTTTATCGTTGTGCACATCTACAATGTATTGGCTACAAGTTCTCCAACTTTCGTGTAAATATCTTATGTCATTTTTGAGATTTTCAGTGGAAACGAGACATCAAAAATTTTCAATTAAAGGACAATAACTCACAAATAAAGGCATGCATAAAAAAACTGAAAACAGGTTTAAATAGGTTTAACTACAAGCTATCTATCCTGAAAGTTTCATAACGATCAGTCCAAAGGTCTTTGAGAAATCGCCTGTCAAAAGTCGAGCGGGAAAAAAAAAAAAGAATAATAAGAAACAATAGAATAACAGTAGGGTCTTCCGAAGGAAGCGGAAGACCCTAATAATAATAGGTAAAAAGAAACCGAAGAATAACAAGAAGGTCTTCCGTTGGAGACGAAAGACCTTAATAATAATAGGTAAAAAGAAACCGAAGAATAACAAGAAGGTCTTCTGTTGGAGACAGAAGACCTTAATAATAATAAGAAACAGAGTAAAAACAATATGTTCCCCAACTTCGTTTGGGGAACATAATAAATAGAATTATGTACCTTAGTGTAGTCTACTTGTGTGTTGTATTGAAATCAGACCAAAACTTAAGGAGACTTAGCATTTTGAAAGAATTTCACAGAAATTTCTATTTTTAGTGACCACAGTAACATCGTTCATCAAAATCAAAAACCGATACACAGAATTATTTACCTTAGTGTAGTCTACTTGTGTGCCAAGTTAAATTGAAATCAGACCAAAACTCTAGGAGGAGTAGCATTTTGAAAGAATTTCACAGGAATTTCTATTTTTAGTAACTACGGTAACACCGTTCATCGAAATCAAAAACCGATATGCAGAATTATATATTTTAGTGTAGTCTACTTGTGTGCCAAGTTATATTGAAATCAGACTAAGACCGTAGGAGGAGTAGCATTTTGAAAGGATTTCAAAGAAATTTCTAATTTTAGTAACCATGGCAACACCGTTCATCAAAATCAAAAACCGATATACAGAATCATCTACCTTAGTGTAGTCTACTTGTGTGCCAAGATAAATTGAAATCAGACCAAAACTGTAAGAGAAGTAGCATTTTGATTTTATTGATTGATTGTATATTGTTTACGTCCCTCTCGAGAATTTTTCACTCATATGGAGACGTCACCGTATGCCGGTGAAGGGCTTCAAATTTTGACCTTTACTCGGCACTCAGGGCCATTGAGCAGCGAGGGATCTTTATCGTGCCAACGCCTGCCGCTGACAAGGAGCCTCGGTTTTTAAGGTCTCATCCGAATGACCCGCAACTTTCACTTCAAAGTGCCGAGCGCATTGCGAAGGAACAGTTGCTACCCATTTTAACGACTAGGTCGGTCGCGGCCAAGATGCGAACTCACGACCTCCCGGTCACGGAGCGAGCGCTCTACCGACTGAGCTACCGTGAACGGTAAGTTGCATTTTGAAAGAATTTCACAGAAATTTCTATTTTTAGTAACCACGGCAACATCGTTCATCGAAATCAAAAACCGATATACAGAATTATGTACCTTAGTGTAGTCTACTTGTGTGCCAGTTAAGTTATATTGAAATCAGACCAAGACCGTAGGAGGAGTAGCATTTTGAAAAATTTTCAAAGAAATTTCTAATTTTAGTAACCATGGCAACACCGTTCATCAAAATCCAAAACCGATACACAGAATTATATACCTTAGTGTTTTCTACTTATGTGCCAAATTACATTGAAATCAGACTAAATCTGTAGAAGGAGTAGCATTTTGAAAGAATTTCACAGAAATTTCTATTTTTAATAACCACGGCAACACCGTTCATTGAAATCAAAAACCGATACACAGAATTATGTATCTTAGTGTAGTCTACTTGTGTGCCAAGTTATATTGAAATCAGGCAAAAACTGTAGGAGGAGTAGCATTTTGAAAAATTGTTTACAGACAGACAGACAGACGGACGGACGCCGGACGCATTACAATCGCATAAGCTCTTCTGGTCACTGACCAGTAGAGCTAAAAACTCGGATATAGGAGGAGGAAAACTGTATAATTTATTTATAAAAGAACCCTTGTTCCAGTAGGTTGACACGTTCCAACACATTCCCTTTAAACCTGAAACTTGTATTCCATACCAAGCTTAAGAGAGAGAGAGAGCACTTTACTACATGTACCACGTTTCAAATCCTGCCATTTGTACATTTACTTGGTGCATAAAATGATAAGAATTTGAAGTATATTTTAATGATTAATGTTTATATATTATGTGTACGTTTTGACTAGACGTACTAAATGTGAATAAATATTGAAATATTTAATTTTGGATGTTTTTATATGCCCTCTATTGTTGTCCATGTCCTAAAAAAATGCGCTAAGTAGAGACTTCTTTTTAAAATTAGAAAAAAAATATTTACCGATTTGAAAGAGAGGTACATGTTCATATATATATGAACACCTTTTCTCGGAAGTAACTGCATAATTTGAATTCAGTTGGTATAATATTGAGTTTGAATTTTTACGAAATAACAGTAATGAGTAATGTTTGAATAGGAGAGAAACAAATTAATATGTTAGCCGAGTAAAATATTCCTACCATCCACCACAAAACTTTGAAACAAAGAGAAGCTGGGCGTGCTTTTAAGAAAATGCATATAACTCATGCAATATGTCCTTAATGGATGTTATGAACAAACAAGTATTAATTCAGTTAAAGTTTACTCTCATTTACAGTGTAAACCACGCTATATTTTGAGCAACAAAATTAAAATACTACAGCAGTCTATGTGACTACCCCCCCCCCCTTTCTCTTTCCCCCAACTTCCATGGAAACATGAACTCTCCTTCGTCTTTGTAAAATTTAACAAATTTCTCTGAAGCAAACATATATTTCCGGGTACTGAGTATATAGAGTTTAAAAAGATATGGTTTCTTAAAATTGTTCTAGCGGTGACGGAACCCCACATGTTTCCTGTGAGGGTGCATGGCAAAAGCGAGGGACAGGTCAAAATTATGACAGCCTACATATAACTCTCGGGGCACGTAACAGTAGTCGGAAAATACACCAAAAATGTATTACATTCGGTTTTGCATGGAGATCTTGCCGGAATTTTACATATGCCAGAAGAAATAAAACAAGTAATAAGAAATCAGAATTGTAGGAGTAACTGGTCAGGTTCGGCGACAATCTTTTACTGGGGGCCGCGCTCCGCAAGGTTCATTAACAACGTTGTTAACGTCTATAAATTTGCTCGAATTGTCATCTTATCAAATCACTGCTTCACATGCAGCGAAAAGTGTACACGTTAATTGTTTTGCACTATGTATGTTTGCCAAAAGATGTTAAGAGTTTTTACATTATGTAGCTCTCTGGTCGAAAACATTTTCTATCTTTGTCTCCTTTTTGATAACCAGAACAAAATAGTTCCATATATATAATTTATCTATGTTATTTTTATGTATATCAAGCTAAAAATTTCCTACCATTGACTTAAATTTCACTTTTTAAAATCACTAGGCTAACAACAATATATCATTTTTATTCTGTAAGATTATTGTAATTAAGACTATAACAGAGGTATTGAGATTGGCTCGGGGAAAGGAATTTTAAAATGAAATCGTTGAAAGACAAAGATTTTAATGTTTATAGAAAATCATGGATGATGAGTTGATGACACTACCACATGCATCAGAGCCAAGTCAATATTGCGAGAATTAAGGAGGATATCGACACCTATGAGGTATAATTGCATTAGTTTCTAAAAATAGTCTCAATATCCCAAAACAATAAGGTGACAAAGTAATTCATTTTAATTTAAGAAAGTATTTATAATGTTTAATTCATTTTGATAAAACCCCTTCCTTTCATATTTTTAAAAGCTTACGTGGATATGTTAAGACTACAACCAAATAGTCCAATCCACACTTTGCAAA